GCATTTCCAGGCACAATTATCACTCATATTTAGATTAAGAAGCCTTTAGAGACTACCAGTAAATACAGAAAAGAGTTCCAGATGTTCCATTGAGATAAAGAATTAATATTAATGAGCTTACTTCCATTTCGAGTTTTCTTGACTCGTGACGATGTTACTTCGCTCTGATGATGTTCGTCATATAACGCAAGAAAGCTTAGCATCTTTAGACCGGAATCGAAAGAGATTGCCTCAGAAACACCGTCAGCATGAATGCTCCAGTAAAGCCAATTGAGAGCTGGTCAAGAGGAATCGGCCGTCGTCTTCTGGTGAAATCAACCTTCAAATCTGTTCACGCAACACTTTTACTCAAAATGGAAGTAAGCTCAACAATTATAAAAGAAAATATTCCTCGAAAGCGCCGTCGTCTTCCGATGGAACCGACATTCGAATCTATCACCCAACACTTTTACTCGAAATGGAAGTAAGCACAACAATTATGAAACAAAAGACTCCTCGAATCCCCCGTCGTCTTCTGGTGGAACCGACATTCGAATCTCTTCAACCAACACTTTTACTCGAAAAGGAAGTAAACTCAAAAATTATCAAACAAGAGATTCCACGAATGCGCCGTCGTCTTCTGGTGGAACCGACATTCGAATCTATTCACCCAACACTTTTACTCGAAAAGGAAGTAAACTCAAAAATTATTAAACAAGAGATTCCTCGAATGCGCCGTCGTCGTCTGGTGGAACCGACATTCGAATCTCTTCACCCAACAATTTTACTCGAAATGGAAGAAAGCACAACAATTATGAAACAAAGGATTCCTCGAATCCCCTGTCGTCTTCTGGTGGAACAGACATTCGAATCTCTTCAACCAACACTTTTACTCGAAATGGAAGTAAGCTCGAAAATTATCAAACAAGAGATTCCTCGAATCCGCCGTCGTCTTCTGGTGGAACCGACATTCGAATCTCTTCTATCAACACTTTTACTCGAAATGGAAGTAAGCACAACAATTATGAAAGAAAAGATTCCTCGAATCCCCCGTCGTCTTCTGGTGGAACCGACATTCGAAGCTCTTCACCCAACACTTTTACTCGAAATGGAATTAAACTCAAAAATTATCAAACAAGAGATTCCTCGAATCCGCCGTCGTATTCTGGTGGAACCGACATTCGAATCTCTTCTCTCAACACTTTTACTCGAAATGGAAGTAAGCAAAACAATTATGAAACAAAAGATTCCTCGAATCCCCCGTCGTCTTCTGGTTGAACGACATTCGAAACTCTTCAACCAACACTTTTACTCGAAATGGAAGTAAGCACAACAATTATGAAACAAATGATTCCTCGAAT